CTGTTTGTGTGGAAGAATGGGCCAAAATCACACCTGAGCAATGCATGCCACTAGTTTCTCCATACAGGAGGTGTATTGAAGCCATCATTGACAGAGGTTTTTGTACAAAGCAGTAGATAAATTTCAGTAAGCGTGTTCAATACTTTTTCCCTGTGCCATTCCACATTATTACAAATAACTTCATTTCTGGACATTTATGGTTTGATTTCTTTGTATGTATGGATCACTTGGGTTATTACCGACATCTGGTGAAAATTTCATGTCATTAGCACCTCTAGTAAAATATTTACTAAGAAAAATGGTGACATGTTCAATACTTATTTTACCCGCTGTATATATGCTAATTTATCAATAAAATAATTATTAATAATTATTTGAATAAAGCTTGTTAGCGTCCTACAGCCAGTAGATACTGATGTCTTACCGGAGGTGCCCATAGGGGAAGTGGCAGGGGTACCAATGTGGACATTGAGCCCCAATGATTGAGAAGCAGAAGGTACAGGTTGGAGTGAAACACCTGAGGGTCCAGGGAGGGGTCCAGGTGGAGTCTCTCTCTGTGGGGACGTGAGGGGTGTGCTAAGAGGGGTGCTGGGCTGTGATGTCTGTCCTCCTGCCAGTCGTGCCAGTCGCCGTCTGCGAATCTTAAATGTTAAAATGTGCATATTCAGTCAAAGTGCTGGGTGAGAATAAAAGAAAAATCCATGGAAATTCTGGAATCTGCATTACACATGAGCATCCAAGTGTTAAAGGGTTTTAAGTTTATCTGTAGTAATAACTTTTAGCAAAGAGGTTTAATAGTTCCAAAATGTTGATTGAATTGAATTACTAAATGAAACATAACTTTTAAACATAATTTATTACAATAAACTAATACATTTTTTCAAACCATAAGGAAGAATAAAAATGATAACATTTTATCATCAAGTGCTTTTTGTCACTTGTGTAACTGAAGAGATGGAAAGGGAAATTATCTTTCTTGTCTTGCCAAGAACATATTAAAACCTTTGGACTACAATTTGAATATGTTACATATTAATATGTTAATATGAATGACCACATTTTACATTGCATCTCGTTGAAAAGGTGAAAACCTCTACAAGCTAAAGAATATTAGATTTTGAAAATGTTCAAGCGCTGTTCAAAACAACTCTTCTGAAGTTTAATTTTTATTCGCTTTAGAATTGTACCARCACGTCTAGAACTCAAAGGATACAAAAAAAGAAAATTGTGCTCAAAACAGTTGCGCAACAGCTTAAAGTTATTTGCGTTTGGAAAATATACAGTATACCGGTACAAATTAACATCACAATACTTAATGAGAAAGATCACTGCTATTGAAAAATACCGTTTCATTTGACTCAATTTGTCAAGTTTGTTATATTTTCACAACTGAGCCTACATTTGGTGAGTTTTTTTCAGAGTATGAATACCAACTTGATGATACGAATCTCTGTACTGTCGCTAATAAATTTCTCAGAAATTATTTTTTTTAAAAATAAATAAAACCATGGTGCCATAAAGTCTGCTTTTATGGCTGCATTTTTATTTTATAACAGCCTGTGGGAGCTCAACTTCGTGCTTTCCAAATGGTGCAACCTTGACAAGTACACACCAGACTTGACACTAGACAAGTAAACAACATTTTTATCTTAGTTTATTAGATCATCCTGCGTACAGTTATACATTTAAACCAATTTTAACAAATCCAACTATTGTCTAGATCAGAGGTTCTCAAACTGGGGTCCCAGAAACTATGATGTAAATATGAGTTAACTGGGAGTTTTGGGTGAGTTAGAGTAAAATGTGATTTTTTTATTTATTTTGTCACCATGTTTAATTTGTAATAAATTAAACTGTATTTTACAACATGTAGTTATATAAATTATAAAACAATTCAAACACAATCCGATGCAGGACATCAGTTGTACTAAATTCATGCAAACTAAGCTAAGTGCTATTCTAGCAGCAAATATGCGAGGTAACAAAAGKTTTATTTGTAGCACGACAGTATCTGAACTTCAGGGGTTCCTCTCGGTAGCTGTAGGTCGAGTCTTTTCTGCGGAGTCGTTTCGTAATAAGCTGATGTTGACGTTAACAAAACAACATTAGCGACAGTCACAYAAACCGCAAAAACATGTACAATATATTTTCTTACAAAGTCATTCACTTGCACAATAATAAACACAAGTAACGATACCACAGACGATAAAGAGAAACTAAATTTTCTTAACTTCAGCTGATCTGAATCTAAAAAAAAAAACATACGTCTATTCAGAGCTTATTGACTTTGGCTTGACGTTAGCTTATTAGCACAAAGCTCCCCGGCTAAATGACTATTAGAAAAAAGACCCCCGTGTGACTTCTTAATCATCCCCTCTTCATAATGAGTAACTGTGCTAAATTCTAATACTGTGGATTAAACYGGCATATGCGTAAAAATGTGTCCTAGATTTGAAATAACAGCGGGATTTTGTCGCCAATTGATTTCTTCCATTATAAATTGGGCTAGCAGCTCATGCTACCTTTCTCTTAAGCAACTCAGCTAGTAGACCACGCAAAGCTTACAGGAGGACATTTTCGAATTGAAAACGGAAACGTCAGTCAAATTAAGTTATGCTTTGGACTAACTTTGTGCATTTTTTCTATTGTCACCTTACCTCATCTGCGCTCAACTCCTCCATCACCGCAGCTAAGTTAGCTAGCTATTTCACTTTCAGTTGCTTCGGTGTGCCAGCCACAATATGCATAGTTTAACTCGTTCAGCGGATGGGTGTCAGTCTGGATTGTCCTTTAGATAAAAACTGGGACACCGATACGGGAATAATGGCAAAGGACAGAGCTTCCGAACCGCCTCGCGTTTGGTGTCTTTTCTTTTTTTGCCAAGATTCAAACAAAAAGAAAAGTAGCGAGCTTATTATATACGTCAATTTACAACAACGGCCATTTTGGTTCTACACTACGTCACGTGACTGCAGGAAGCAGAAGAGAAGTGCGTGACGTCGCCACGTTTGTGCTTTAATTTGTGTATTTTTCACGGGAATCTTTGAATGATTTCTTAGTTTACTAATGCATTATAATGTCTGTTTAACTTCTTGTGTAAATTCTGTATGTTTTTGTTTTATTTCATCATAAAAACAGAAAAAAGTCATTCTGCAGTTGTTTATTAAACTGAATGCACATAACCAGACAGATTTCAGGTTAATCATGCAACATACTATCAAACACAGATTGCAGACTCTAGATTTAATTTAAACACAGTTTATTTGATAAAAACAAGAACACATTACAAAAATGTTTTCAAAACATCTTAGACATTTGTGCTTGTAATTTATGACAACTTTACAAATTGCATAATTAAACGAGAAGGACAGTACAAGCTGTTGGACTTTGCCTACATATAACCCTTATAGTTTAGAACAAAACCAAAATAACAGTTCGCTTTTGGTTTTCTTGGTGCCAGCACCACCAAACCAGCAGCAAAACTAATGCAGAGAGGCCACCTTGTGGGCAAAGTCCATACTCAGAGGGACACATTTCTCCTGCTGACAAAAAAAGAAGAGTAAAGGAAAAAAACAGAGTTCCAATGAGTTTCTTCCACAGGAATAACCATAATCCGTTTGACCCTTCATCACAGAGGCTTTTTAGGTTAAAATAACCATCCCTTGTTCACTCGTTTGCACTCTTTTTAAACACTTGCTTGCAGACCTCTCCTTCACAGTACAACTCCTGATGAAAGAAGTCAAATAAAT